GCAACTGGGATGAGGGAAAAGAGAAAAGAAAGAAGGGGAAATTTATGTATATATGTATATATAGGATAGCTAACATAGTTGTACTATTGACTTCTGTCACTTTATTGAAAGGAACAGTTAATGATTAATTATTTGATCAATCTTACATGTCTATATTTGTTTGCCTGAGTAACCACTTTGAAGATATCAATATGTAATACAAGAACCATTGTTAAATTCCTGTTGTTTTGTCTGTAATTCAGTATTACTTGTATTGTTCTTGTGTTACTTTGTAAATGGATGTCTGTTTGTTAATATGTTTTCCTTCTTTTATTTTTAAAATTTAAAAAGACATAAAAAATAAACTTTTGTCAAGGGAAGAATGACCAAATGAGCAATATGAGAGTCTGGGTTGATTTGAGCAGGGTTGGAAGTAAACTAAATCATAACCTTGATTTCTGTATTTGGGTTTCTGCCTCTGGCTGAAGCTCCTGCTCCATCACCTCTGGGCTGGTGAGCTGCTGGCAGCAGCTCTACTGACCTGCCTTACTGCTGGGGATGGACTCTATCACTTGCACCTCCCGCTCCCCAGGGGATACAGCAGTCACTGCCTCTGCAGCCACAGCCACCAAAATTTTTTCCTGGTTTTCTCCTCCTCTGTTCTGGGCTATTGTCACTCTATGGCTCTTAGCAGAGCACGCATTGCTAGTGTAATGTGTAAAGCCAGCCGGCAGATGGAGGAGGTTGGGAGTGGGGAAGCTCATAGCCATTGTTGTTGGCTGACCCCAGGCACTGGGCATGCTGGCTGCTGTTCCCACTCTGGTCCCTGGATGCCCTTCTGACGCCAGGGTTCCGAGCACAGGCTCTGTTTGCATGATGTAAATGTTCAGTGCTAGAAGTGTGCATGTGGATGGCAGGGAGTTTTGCCTGTGGCATGTGCTAGCAGCTCTGGTTGGGCAGAGTGCAAGGACTCCTGGGTGGCCAGAAATCCCAGCTGAATCTGCCTAGGACCAAAGCACAGGACCCTCCCTGCACCAGGGCTGCACCCCGCCCCCCAGTGGCACCACACACACCACTCTGAGCCAGCTGCACCCACTTTAAAAGAATTTTCTTTTTCATCTGCATAGTTTCTTCCTTATCTAATTCAGCTAAGCTAGAAGGTTTAAACTCTATTGGCGGGGCTATTGTTCTGCCCTCCTTTTCCCACTTGACACTTGCTTCTAAAGAAGTGCTTTGATCCACATGCTTTGTGGTCATAAAACCCCTTCTAACCAAAATCCAGAAAAGAACATACAGGAATCAAACATGCAAAAATCACCGCTACATATGTATACCACTGTGGTTCTTGAGACTCTGTTTGCCTTACTTTTAACTACTAGTAAATGAGTACACGTTTTTCCTTTTTGCTTCTTTGAGGCCTATTAATATTTTTATTGCTATTCATTTATTTTCTTAAGGTCAGTAGACCTCCATGCCCCAAGGTTTTCACTTGATAATTGCCAATACAATGCACTCCTGTGCTGAATATTGACCTCCCAATGCACTTTTCCCCCACATGTGCATGCAAATGAGAAGTGTCCTCCCCACTCGCTCTTTTCCCTCACTCAAGTCTCCCATTCCTATACCAATTTTCTGTGTCGACACAGCTCTCAATTCTCTCGGCATGGCAGCAAGAGTATTTATTTGTTCATTTATTTATTTATTTATTTATTTTGGTGTTTTTGAGACAGCGTCTCATTGTGCAGTTCAGGCTGATCTTGAGCTCATTTTACAGCCCAGGCTGGCCTTGAACTCACAATGATCCTCCTGCCTCAGCCTCCCAAGTGCTGGGATTATAGAACAGTATTTAGAAATAAAGCCAAGAGGCAAAAACTGAGCTCAAATGGAACCCTCTCTCTGGATGGGAGGAAAGGTACTGCCCAAAAACTGAAGAGTGTGTATTTATACTCAGGAAGTTGATGTCAATTTTAAGCTGTCTGCCTAGCTGCCAGTTTGTAAGCTGGGACAGCTTGTTTACATGCTCGAGGAGCTGTCGATGTTCTTGGGCCAGCTTTGTCTTCGCCCCTCACGGGACTGATTTGCAGCTTCAACCACCCTCTACATTCTTCTTCACCTTTGCTCCGAATTCCCACCTCTTTATTTTCCATAGTCACTCTGCCTCTTTATTTTGCATATTTTTATGTTCTTCCCCACTCCCTCTTCCTTTCTTCTGTGTGTAGTCTTTCTGCTACACTCTATTTCTTTGGTTTTCTACCTGGATTCTTAACACATCTTGTATTCACATTTACACTTAATATAATTCTCTAAAGACAATCTCTTAAATGATTCACTGCAAAGGGCTTTAATTTTAAAAATGGTTTTTAAAAGTTCAATTATGGATATAATTTAAAAGATGAGGGCTTTTTTTAGTCAATCTCTTTTAGGATCAGTTTGTCTTCAAATAAAATAATCTCCCATGATTCCCTGGTAAGCAGTACATGACCCGTCTGTCCAGAGTGTAGGGATGAGAAGCTCAACTGCATACACGCATATTCTTTTAGGGACATGTAAGAATACACAAATGCACAGTGACAGGGAGGAAAAGGTGCAACACAAACAGATGGACACCTATTCACATATACATAGTCACACCAAGACAGAACACACAATTCATGTTAGAAGTTTCCTGGTACTAGGCAAACAAGACCTGACATTTACATTGTACTAAATACAATGAAATATTTAAATCACTATATATTTATATAATGATTAACTATAATATTTAAATATGATCATCTATACAAAGATCTTGAAATTGAATATCTTAAAAATCATCAATAATATAAAAGTATATAAAAAGCATATTTACAAAGTATGATGCTATATTCCAATTTTTATTACAATACATATTTTACAAAAAAGCAATGCTAGGAGATAAAACATAAATGGTTAGCCAGAAATACAAACCATTTCTAACCTATATGGAATATATACATATATGTATGTGTATGTGTATCTGTGTGTGACTTGATTTACTCATAAAGCATTTCATAACAATATGCATAATAGTGCAAACACTAAGGAATAATTATTTTGATTAAACTAAAGTGACATTAGGTGAAAGAAAATAAAGCCACACCTTAGTAAGTTAAAAAAATTAATGTAAAATAAACACAAGGTGATTTTGCAAGTTAAAAAGTTCAAACATAAAGTAAGGCAAAAGGGAGAAATTCTAAACATTAGTGATAACTGGCAAAAGATGTGAAGACCACAGTACTGACTCATGTGTGTCTTGCAGTTCCGATTTACCTGCACCATCACACCCTTCCTGGTTCCTAGAGACTTGTCCTGCTCTGGTCCTGATAGCCGTCCTCCTTGTTTCTTGCCACATACTTGCAGCAAGTATAGGGAGTCTCTGGAAACACCTGCCTAGAGGTGATGAGTCTCCCCAGACACGCAGAGCAGGGAGAGGGCTGTTGTGGGACTCAGGTCAGTGTGGGTAGCACTGTGTCCAAAGACGGTAGATCAGAGACTGGCTGTGGGAAGTGGAAGAAGCAGAGACTGCAACAGGCACCCACTAACACCCTGTGCAACAGGCTTACACCCACCAAATTAGAAGCAAGAGGAGAGCACATAGCAGTGAGCCAAGACTACATCTTGGAATTGAGAATTTCAAAGTTTAAAATGAAAATTCTGCAACATTTTTAACTCATGCATGTTCAGATTACCAAATTTTGGCAACTAAAAGGGTTTTCATTGTTCATCCAAACACCAACATGATCCACACCTGTGAGTATTTTACAGACAGCCTCAGCTGAGGCTTCCAGACAGAGGAGGTTCAAGGGAGGCTCATATCCCATTTGGGGCTATGGTCACGGACGAACAGAAGGCTGTAGTCTCTCTGCTACTAAGAAGGCTGTAAATAGCTTCTAGAAGAGGCAGGGATGGACAGGGATTCCTTTTAGTCAACTCAAGAACACAAGATTTAAAGAAGCAAAATAAAGAGTTAAGGCCTTATCTTTACTTTTGTGAGAATGAGAATGAGGGTTGAGTTATCAGTGATTCAACGTGGTGAAAATCAGACACTGCCTGTGTTGTTTCTCTTGCCATTAGATGACTCTGCTCCTTTCAGACTAGATGCAGCAAATTCCAGATACATAATGACCATGAATTAGGAATACAAAGGGATATACAGTTGAGAAACATGCATTTATGAAAGCACCAAGAGTGAACAGTAAGATTCTTGAATGACTAAAAAAAGTCACATATATTTGTATGATACAAGACAGGAAATAGAAAAATTCAAAGATGCTCACCAGGAGAAGGATGCTGTGAATGGCTCTGGTCTCAGGAGAGGATCTGAAGGAGTTGCTGGTCCTACGCATGTGCTGGACCCGCCGCTTGTGCATACACAAGATGAAAAGCATAGAGCCACAGGCTGAGAGCATTAGCCCCATGCACAAAACATCAATGATGGTGGTATACACTGCATATCCTGCGTATATCCCTTTCATGGTATGTGGATTTGAACAGTAAGCAAAGTCTATTTTATTTGTGAGGTTTTTCTTCTTCGAACTGCTAGTCAAACTCACAGAGAAACTAATGTTCAACACCAAGTGCAGGACCCAGCAGAGGACAGTGAAGGTGCTTATATACTGGGGAAACTTCATCTTCAACTCTGCCCACCTAGAGTTGCTGGGGCTGATGATGACGGCCTGGAAGACACCCAGGAGGCAGGTGGTGCCAAAGACTACACCCCTACTCACTCTGCTAACATAGAAAACAAATTTGCACCCAAAATCACTGAGGAAGCCTTTCAACCCATAAGCTGCCATGGTCTCTGGGATCCCTCTAGAGAGAATCACCAAGAAGTTGGCCACAGTCAGATGCATAACAATCAAATCTATGGATCTTGTCTTATATCCAGTGAGGAAAAGAAATAAATATTTACCTAAGAGAGAGAGGTTCCCCAGGGTTCCAATGAAAATCTGAACAAGGAAAATTATTACAATATAAACAGCTCCAGAGGCCATTCTGTCATTTACTCTGTTCAGGATTCGAATTCTTAAACAGAGGCTTCTGCGTGATAACATGAATTGTGGATATTAGTTAATGTGAAATTCCCTTTATCATGACATTTCTCTCAGGCAATTTCTTTCTCAAGTATATATTTTTTGGGGTTAGGACAGTTCCCAAGATTGATGTGGTTTTTCTGCATCTCACTGGTCATATGTTATATAACTAATATCCTCATCCACAAGACATAGCTACTACTGTGCTTTTCTTACAATCCAGGAGAATGTATTCACGAGGTAATTAGTTATGCACATAAAAATTGGTAGAGTCTACCTTCAATCAAAAGCTGCCTGGTTGCTGTGTCATTGTTTTGGTATATTATCCCATGTCCTTTTAGTGCTTTTAAATAATTTACATATACACCTCGGTTCATGTATGCTTCTGTTTGCAAACAATTTGGTTCTCAAACAAAAACATTTGAAAAACTTTCGTTTCTGTTTACAAACTCCACATCAGGTGACAAACACAACTGTGGCAATATTCCCCACTCAAACACATATCTTCCCCAAGATCATGAAACAAATTAAGGTCATGAACCAAGGTACCGTAGTATCACGTTTTACATTAAACTAATTTTTATGCACTTGAATATATTGGATTTTCCACTGTCAAATTTCATTGTATAGAAAATATTATAAGAATCAAGACTCTGATGATTTTATGAAATGTAGATATATCTGACATTTTCTTCAGCTATGGTGTATTTATTGAATATGGATGAATAGGAAAGCAATAAAATATACTTTTCATATTTTAAATACTGCCCTGTAGAAGAGTACAACATTGGGGCTCATTCTCATCTATGGGATGTAAAATATATGAAAAAAGTAACAATGCTTATTAGGGAGGATACGACTCTATATTCATTGTTTTAAAGAAAAATATACATATGACTTTAAAAAGATATTAAAATGCAAAAGTATGTAAAATAAAAATGCAAGTTATAGCATCATGTATAAAATAATTTTAAGTGGAAGAGAGATGGGAATGACATTTGAGGAGTACTTTTTTACCAAACAAAACATTGCATGGTATACAGAACTAGCAAATGCTATATTTTTTTTCTATATTCCTTCGCTCTCAACTATAAGGTGCTATTTTGGAAGCATCTTTGTCTAACTACAGGAAGAGAAACTTGCTAGTATCAATACATTTTTAATACTTTCATACAGAGAAACAGTTTCTCATTCAGTATAGATATTACACTTACACTGGGGAGACATAATTTCATTTCAGTAACAGTTGTCAAGTTTTCTAAACAATCAGAACATTCTGTTAACTCTATCCTATTCATCAACAGATGCATAGATTTTATGGAAAACTTCTCCATGATTGCTTTATAATACCTCTGAAACCAATTAGTTTCCAAATTAGCATCATACCCATCATGAAATGCAGACTTCATTCCTGCTTGCATCCAGCTGTAGCAAACATAAGCTGTGAGGGTTATACTGGAACACATCAGCAGTCACCAGGGCTCAGCACAGGGTCCTGGCCCTGCAGTCCTGGTCCACAATTCTTCCCAGGCCTTAAGAGTTGCTCCTCCTGTCTGCGTGGCTTTGGTGAAGATCAGCCTCTATGCCAAAACAGTCTGTCTTCACACAAGAGTACTTTCCAAGAATCTGTTGTTTCTACTTCTCTAGCAGACTCTGCCTCTCAGACTGTGAGAAAACTCACCCATCCCTCTCCCTCAACTTCAGTGTGACCTCAGTGTAACAGACACATGGCCCGTGCATCAGAGAGGAAGAAGGCCAGACACACAGATAAATACAGATGATAATGTGACCTCATCTTCCCACAGGTGACAAATGAATGATTCTCCCTTGGAGTCAATGACACTGTTGCCTCTGGTGTTGTGCATCTGAAGGCTTTTTCTTAATTCCAAATTCCCAGAAAAAATTAAAAGTTCTTGTTTGTGGTGAGTGTCTCCAAGGAGCAGAGGAGTCTGTGTTGGCGGTGCCTGCTCTCCAAGCTCCCTGGGTAGACACTATCACTCTGAGGCAGAAGGAGGAGTGGAGGTTGAGCCTGAAGGACAGGTAGGAAGGCATGTGGGTCCCACTGGATCCTGAGCTCCTGTGGGAAGCTGGTGGCCCCACAGACCACATTCTGTGCTTTTCTGCTCTCCTATACTACACCTTCAATGATGTTTGATTCGAGGTGTGGTGAGACCCCAGGGCAGGCCCGGGAAGAGTGAAATGAAGAACATCACAACACAACTCAAATCAAAATCCATTAGAGATTTGGGCAACTCGGTGCACAGTCATTCAAAAGTATAGCTGCGATGAGCAAGCACCGAATTCACAAAGAACACTGGAGACCCATATTCCTTCAGTATTCACTTGATTGGAGCCATTCCAGAGCGTCATTTGCCACGAAAGAAGAGAAAAATCTACACAACTTTCTAAAGACAAGTAGATAAGACTCATGTGAGCTCATATATAATCTACGTAGACTATATACATTATATATACTATATAGTCCTCCAAAAATGTATACATCAGGAAAAGAAAAACTTGTATAAATATTTTAATACTAAATTTATTGAGATGCCATGAGAGTAACAGCAGATATCTTTGGCCTCTACAATTACAAGAGATGTTTAAAGTGGTGGCTATTAGCTTCAAAGCATTGACTAGCTTGGTGAACTGCTGAACTGTGCATACATTTTTTTGGTGGCCTTTGTTTATATAAGTACCACATTTCCCCCAAAATAGGGCCTACACAGAACACAAGCTCTATATCATGAGTTTAGCAGCAGCATGCCAGCAAAATGTACCTATTGCATCTTTTGGAGTACACCCCATAGTCTATGTATATAAAGACTTTGTTCCAATTTAAAACAGATTACCACTCCATAATGGAAGAGATTCTACAAATAATAAATTGTAAAATAGTAACAAAAGGAAACATAACAAAAATCAGAAATGGCATTATTAGGAAGAATTGCTAATTATGCAAACAGAAAAACAGGACTAAAGAAAGGACAAAATAAAATCATATTCTTTCACAGAAAATAAAACATGTTCTGTTCTGAGAAGGGAAATGTAATCTCTATTTTTATTAGAAAAACTAGATGTATATAAAGAACCCTGAGAAGTAAAATATATCACACTGTTCTTCCTATAGAACATGAGTCAGATCAAAAACATCTGTGACAATACCTGTGTGGTATTATACACATGTATGGAGAACCTACTGTAAAACAAATTCAAAATTATGAGATATGATTCCTGGTACAAAAAAAGCAAAATTATGAGATAAATCATGGTAATGGCATAAAAACCAGTAATGAAAATACATTATTTAATGTTCTTACAATCTAAAAAATAAGTTTATTTTAAAGTAGGAGATAATCTACAGAAAGGGAAAGGACCTGCTCAAAGGAAAGAATAACTGGGATGAGGGAAAAAAGAAATGAAAGAAAAAGGGGAAAATATGTATATATGTATACACAGGATAGCTAAGATAGTGGTACTACTGATTTCTATTACTTTATTGAAAGGAACAGTTAATGTTTAATTGTTTGATCAATTTTACATGCCTATATTTGTTTATCTGAGTAACCAATTTGAAGATATCAATCTGAAATACAGCCACCATTGTTAATTTCCTATCATCTTGTCTGGAAATATGTATTTCTTGTACTGTTTTTGTGTTATTTTGTAAATGTCTGTGTGTGTATTAATATTTTTCTTTCTTTTATCTTTAAAATAAAAAAGAAAAAATCTACACATGCAATTTAAATATAATAAATGTATGTATATTATACAAAGGAAACAGATATTAACACCAAAGTGACTTATAAAGTTAAAAAATAATTGCAGCTAGTAATCTAATGAAGGACTTCAAAAGGAATGATAAAAATACTTTAAAGTAGTATCAGAAGAAAACATATTACTGTAAAGCATTATAGAAGAAAAGAGGAAGAACTTTACACAAATTCTCTGGGGTCTTTCCTGAACAAATAAGAAAAGAGTAAAATAATATCAAAGCAAGCAAAAGGAATAAAATAATGAAAGTACATATAGAAATCACTAAAATTGAAATTATAAACAATATAAACCTTAAGCAAACCAACAGCTATTTACTCCCTCTCTTAATTATTCACTCATTGTACACCCAGGAACTGTGGCATTATTTCTAGCACCTAAGGAGAAACAAAGATGCTAATACTGCGACTAAAGGAAAATACACAGTCATCAAAAAATAGATCAATAATGTGTTCAACAAAAACATTCTTGTAGGTCAAAATGTGTATTATATTATATATTACTAAAATATCTTTTACAATGGATTATAGATATTTTCTCATACATTTGTTCATTTATTCATTTTGAGAGATGTCTCCAGTTTGTTTTTAAAATTGTGTGTATATGTGATTGTAAAACATGCTCTTGTGACGTACGTATATTGCGAAGATTATTAAATCAGTCAAGTACAGCCATCATGTCATATAGTTAACAATTTTACAACAGTCCTTGAAACTTACAGTTACCAGTTTCCAGTATAAGTTACATTATTCTTAACTATGGTTATCATGTTATATGTTAGATACTAACATGTATTCATCCTCTACAACTCCAAATTTATAAACTGTGACCAATATCTCTTTTTCTGATCATACTATACCCATTGATAGACATGGTTGTACTCTTTACTTTTGCTTTGAATAATTGAAGATTACACACAGAAGAGATATCAAACAGTATTTATGTTTCTTGTTTTGGCCTATGTCACTTAGGATTCTGACTGCAAGATTTATTCAGGCTGTCAGCCATGACAAGATTCTTTTCTAAGGCTAAATACCATTCATATACATGTATCACTGCCACCATCCACTCTTCCACTGATGCACACAGGTTGTTTCTATATAGTATTGAATATTATGAATAATGGTTCAGTGAAATGAGTAATATAAAATCCATTTCTTTATGTGTGTATACTAAGAATATTATAT